GCCCCGACCTCCCCAAGTGGACCCAGTCTCTCCAGGTGGGAGCCCCACACACTCTGCCACCGCCCCACACTCTCCACCCGCTCCTTGTGCACACCCTGCACCATTCAAGTCGGCTCAGTTGCCAGGCTGCAGAGAATCCAGTCACCAATCTATGCAGGCCATTTCTGTGCTCTTCATTCCTTCTTGTTGAGGTGAGTTACCTTCTAATGTCATTTATTTTTAGCTGAAGAATATTTTGGAAGGCAGTTCTGTTAATAAATTCTCTCAGTGTTTTTGTATGGTGTAAGGTCCTTATTGTACCTTCTGTTTTTTGAAGGGCTGTTTTGCTGAATTTAGAATTCTTGTTTCAAGGAGTTTTTTTATTTATTATTATTCTGTACTTTTAGTTCTTTGGACATGTCATTCCCTGCCTTTTATTCTTCAATTTTGATGAGAACTCACCTAATAATCATGTTATTATTTTCTTATATATAATTAGCAGTTTTCCCACTACTGATTTCAAAAAGACCTAACATAGAATTTGCCACATTACCCACTTTTTTTAGAAATAGACTTTATTTTCTGAGAGCATTCTTAGGTTTACAAACCAAAATTGGGACAGGTACAGAGATTTCCTATACATCCCCAGGGTCAACACATGCATAGCCTCTCCCATTATCAATATCTCCCATCAGAGTGGTACATTTGTTACAGGTGATGAACCTGCAATGACACATCATTATCATCCAAAACCATAGTTTGCATTAAGGTTTACTTTTGGTGTTGTACATTTTATGAATTTGGACAAATGTATAATGACATGTATCTGCCATTGTAGAATTATACAGAATAATTTTACTGTCCTAAAAATCTTCCATGGTCTCTCTATTAATCCTTTCCTCCTTGCTAAATTTTGGCAACCACTGACTTTTTACTGTCTCCGTGGTTTTGCCTTTCCAGAAAGTCATACAGTAGAATCATATAATATCTTATATCTTATTCATTACTTTTTAAATATATCGTGCATCTTAACCAATTTGTTTTAGTTGAGTATCTTTTTTTATGTAAGTTTCAACTGTAAAACATTATATTTGACACCTGTTTACACTACGAAGTGATCAAATGTACAGTTGAATAGTGTTGACTATATTCACATTGTTGTGGAACAGATGTCTAGAACTTTGTCACCATCTAAAACTGCAACTCTATGCGCATTGAACAATAAATCTCCTTGTCCCCCCAGCCTCCCAAATCTTAGCAATTGCCATTCTACTTTCTGTTTTTATGAGTAGCACTATTTTAGAAACCTCATACAACTGGAATTACACACTTTTCTCAGTGACTGGCTTGTTTCCCTTAGCATAATGACCTGGAGTTTCATCCATGTTGTAGCACGTGACAGGATTTCCTTCCTTTTGAAGACTGAATAATCTTACATTGTCTGTGTATATCACATTTTGTTTATCCATTCATCCATTAATGGACATTTGGGTTGCATTTACCACTTAGCTATCTTGAACATTGAACATTCTTGACTGCAATGAACATGGGTGTACAAATATCTCTTCAAGATCTTGCTTTTAATTCATTTGGATATATTTCCACATGTAAGATTGCTGATTCATATGGTAATTCTATTTTTAACTTTTTGAGAAAACTCCATACTGTTTTCTATGATGACTGACCAATTTACCTTCCCACCAACAGTATACAAGGATTCCTTTTCCTCCACATTCTCATCAATGCTTGATATTTTGTGTTTTTTTTTTTTTAATACTAGCCATCCTAATGGGTATAAGGTGATATCTCATTGTGGTTTTGATTTGTGTTTCTCTAATATTTAATGATATTGAGCATCTTTTCATATGCTTGTTTTCCATTTGTATATCTTCTTTGAAAAAATGTCTATTCCTTTGTCCATTTCTTAATTGGATTATTTATTTTTTTGTTGTTGAATTGTAGGAGCTCTTTATATATTTTGGATATTAACTCCTTATCAGATATGATGTGCAAATATTTTCTCCTATTCTGTACCTTGGCTTTTCATTCTTGTTTGTGTCCCTTGATGCACATAGTGTTTTAGTTTGATGTAATCCCATTTGTCTATTTTTGCTTTTGCTGCTTGTGTTTTTGATGTCATATCCAAGAAATCATTGCCAAATACAATGTCATTAGCTTTCTCCCCATGTTTTCTTCTAGGAGTTTCAGGTCTTATGTTTAGATCTTTAATCCATTTTGAGTTAACTTTTGTGTATAGGGTAACGTAAGCTTCCAACTTCATTCTTTTGCATGTGAATAGCCAGTTTTCCCAGCACCATTTATGAAAGATAATGTCCTTTCCCCATTGAAGAGTCTTGATACCCTTGTCAAAAATCATTAGACCAAATTTCCATGGGTTCACTTCTGGATATTTGTTAAGTTGTTTCCATAGAGGAATGAGGGGCTGAGGCTTCCTATTCCTCCATTTTGCTAATGTCATCCTCCTCCTATCTGGAACAGATTTCAGAAAAACGTGGATTCTGTGTGAGGTAATGCAGCTTAAGTGCTGCTGGAGGTGAGAGATATCTCACCCATTCCCTGATTTTCATGCTGACTTGATAATTACCTAATACTTCTGCTTGTTATATCAAAATTATTTTTGTTTTTGTCTTTCAAAGTTCTTCAGTCCTTTGGTTATGACGTTTTCAGATGTGGATTTCAATGTGCTGAGTCTATGAGTATTCACTGAGGGCCTTGGGTCTACAAATATTTTTAAAATCAAAATTAAAAATTTGTTCATTCATTGAGTTTAGAATAGCTTTTCTGTCCCTTTCTGTCTGTCTTCTTCTTCTCAGACTATGTTTACATCTATATTGTTTTTCTTGATACTGATTCAAAGGTCTGTGAACTGTGTTAATTTTTCTCTATCATCCTCTGGGATAAATGATTTCTATTACTCCATCTCCAATTTCATCAACTCTTTTTTCTGCATCTCAAATTTTCTGTGGAATCAACTTAGTAAATTTTTCATTTCAGGTAGTGTATTTTTCAACTCAGAATTTCTATTTGTTTCATTCATATAGTTTTTATTTCCCTAGTGATATTTCCTACTTGTTTTGTCACTGCCACCATTTTCATTTAGTTTTCTATATAATTTCCATATATTTATAAAAATTATTTTAAATATTTTGTCTAACAAATCTAACATCTTATCCCAATAAAAGATTTTATTATCTGATTTTTCTCCTTGATTATGACAGACAATATTCAGTTTCTTTGCATGTTTTACATGCAAAGTTTACTGCTTCTCTAGCCTGCCCCTTTTCTGGTCCTTTGACTGGAGAGAAAAGACTTTTCTTGGGACTGTTGTCTGTAGCCATTGGTGTTCTGGTTTGCCTGCTTCTCCAGCATCCAGTCTGAGATACATGAGGTTAAAGAAATTCCAGGGAGCTCAGCACCGTACAACCCCTCAGCTCCCAGGTCCCAGTTCCGGCAGCTTTCTCAGCTTTCAGAATCTTCTTTCCTTGTCTTATGTACAATGCCCACTGCTCTGAGCTGTATTTAGTGGGAGGAATAGGGAAAAGTACTATCCACTCTCTCTTTCCGGGAGTACTATCCAGTAAAACTGCTACCCCTAAAAAGTTCATCCATTCCATGTTTCCAGAACAGGAAGTCCCATGTGTAGTAGTTTTAATTTAATTTTCCTAAGGCTAAAAATATTGAGCGTCCTTTCATGTACTTATTTGCAATCTATATGTTTTTGGTGAAATATTCATTGAAATATTTTGCATATTTTTTGTTATTTATTTTGAGAGGTTTTTTTTTTTTTGAGGAAGACTGGCCCTGAGGTAACATCTGTTGCCAATCTTCCTCCTTTTTCTCCCCAAAGCCCCAGTAGGTAGCTGTATGTCGTAGTTGTGCATCCTTCTAGTTGCTCCATGTGAGATGCCACCTCAGCGTGGCTTGATGAGCGGTGCCTAGGTCCGCACCCGGGATCCGAACCAGCAAACCCCAGGCCGCCAAAGCAGAGCAGGCAAAAGCAACTGCTGTGCCACCAGGCCTGCCCCGTGAGAGTTCTTTATACACACTGGAAGTTAGCCTTTCATCAGATGTATGATTTGCAAATATTTTCTCCAAGTCTATGACTTGTCTTGTTTTTCTCTTGAAAGAGCAGACATTTTTTATTTTGATGAGGAACAGTTCATTAAATTGTTCTTTTATGGATCATAGCTTTGGTGTTGTATCTAAGAAATCTCTACCTAACCCAAGGTCATGTAGATTATCTAATACATCTTTTTGAGGTTTTATAATTTACACTTTGGTTTGTGACCAATTTTGAGCTTATTTGTACATACAGTGTAAGGTAAGGATAAAATTATTATTTTTATTATATTTCATATTGATAGTCAACTGTTTCCACAATGTTTATTGAAAAGATTGTACTTTCTCCACTTAATGAGTTTGCGTTTTTGTTGAAATCTGCATTCTGTATATGTGTAGGTATAGTTTTGCACTTTCTAACATGTTTCACGATCTAGTTATCTGTTTTTATGTCAATTCCTTACTACTTTAGGCACTGTTTTTTTTAATGGTAAATTTATACTACTTTATCAGTTCTTCTTTCTCAAAATTATCCTGTCTGTTCAAGGTCTTTGCATGGATTTTTCCTTTTTATTCCTATCTTTTTTAAAGATCGTTTTGCTTTTCTTGTTTAAAGCAAGAATGAGTGTTAATTTTATCAATACCTTCTGCATCAAAGTGATGACATCATTTTTCTTCTTTTCTAATTTAAAAAAAAATTTTTTCTCATGAAGAAGATTGCCCATGACCTAACATCCATTGCCAATCTTCCTCTTTTCGCTGAGGAAGATTGGCCCTGAGCTAACATCTGTGCCCATCTTCCTCTATTTTGTATATGGGACATCACCACAGCATGGCTTAATGTGTGGTGCATAGTTCTGCACCGCGGATCCGAACCTGCGAACCCCGGGCCACCGAAGCGGAGGGTGAGAACTTAACCACTACACCACCAGCCCGGCCCCGATGACATCATTTTTCTTTTTTACTCTGTTAATGAGATGGATTAATTTTATGGAATTTCAAATGTGAATCCAACATGGTATTGCTCAATCAATCCACTTGTGTCATGGTCTATTATTTTTATGTATTGCTGCAATCTTTATGTCAATTTATGATTGCCATTGACATGTAATTTCCTTTTTTGTGTGATACTATCATCAAAAATACTCATAACTGATATTTTATTAGCCTGTTTCATCTTGTTGAAAGTATCTTCTCTTTTCTCTACCCTACAAAAGATATTGTAAGATTGGCATTATATTTTCTTTGTACATGT